AGAAAAGACCGATTTGTTTATGATTTATTTTTAAAATCAGAGTAATCTTTTAAAGAAAAAAATTGCGGAATTTGTTCCCAAAACAAAATATGATAAGAATTTATCAAAGCATTCCTTTAAAGAAATGTATTTTCATTATATAACAAAATATCGGGATGTCATGTCCCGATACAGACACATAAGCATAAACAGAACTTACATTTATTTACAATAATGATTTACATCTCTTTTAATCTCTCAGGGAAATATGTCTTCGTATTGATACCTGTGATACAAAGAAAACTAAGTGGGTCAGGCTTGGGAGCCTAGTGAGCATATAGGGTTTTCGACTCACAATAATATAATTATTATATTCAACCATCAAACAATCAACCCAATTACCCATCCCCATTATCTTCTTTATTTCTTAGGATTTTACCCTAAGAATTCAACTACTCATCATCCATTCATTCCTAAGGATTGACCTAAGGAATTGGCACAAAATCTATTGCTACATAAGGCGCATCTACCAACATCATACTTTAAGCGCCTATATCAGGATTACGTCATACACTATGAGGCGCGACTGCCAGGTTTACGACATTATCTTTTAGGCGCATCTTCCGACATTATCCTATAAGCGCATCTACCAGGATTATCCTATAAGTGAGTACACACTCACTTGATCAGAAGATGATTGGAAAGCACTACGGCTTGTAGAAGTAGTATTCTTCGGTAGACCTGGAAGATCTTCACACAAACTGGGCTCCTCGCAGGCAGAGCTTCAGTTCGGAAACTCTTTTCTTCTCGGGATCTTTGGGCTTCGGGACTCGGAATGATACCGGGGCTTCGGGATATTTCTTGCATGTAAATCGAGGTAAAACGGGAGAGAGAGGAGAGAAAATAGCAACCCTAAACGGCTGGCCCTTCAAATCTGTTTATAGGGAAAAAATTTCCCTTGCTACGTCGTGGCACCTTTTTCCACGTTATGGGGTTGGTCGTCACGGCATGAGTCATCACAAGTTGCGTCTGGGAAATCCAGGAGGTGTCAGAAGACTTGCCACGTCTTGGTATCTGACAGTTCTGGGGTTTCGCGTCCCGAACTTCAGAAAATCATAACTTTCGCATATGAACTCCGTTTTCGACATTCTTTATATCGACATCTTGGTGAGAATATGATCTAAAACTCTCGTTTAGACTCCGTTGGATAATTTTGATTTTATTTTTAATATATTATAAATATATTACTTTTATATTATTTTTAGTATGCCGGGACAGGAAAACTCCGTTGTAAATTCATAACTTCTTCATCTGATGTCCGTTTCCGCCTATCTTTTTATTGTTTCACTACTATCGATGAGATCTTCAATTCTCATTTAGATTGATTTGGCTAAAAATCACTCGATCTCAAATCGATGATTCGGGTTGCATACTGCTAAGTCGAAACTTTGGAAAAATCATAACTTCCTCATATGAAATCAGATTTGGGTGTTCTTTTTATGCACGCTTTCGGTTTAACATATTCTACAACTTTTGTTTAGATCGCTAAGGCTAAATATTGATTTAACATAAATTCACTTTTTACGTCATTCAGCGTCGTGCCGTTTCTGTCGCGAAACTTCGACAGGTCATAACTTCTTCGTTATAACTCGGATTTCGACGTTCTTTATATGCATGGAATCCTTGTAACATATAATACAACTTATTTAAAATTAATCCTTCTAAATAATCTTCCATTAAAAAGTCAATTTTTGACGCTTATCGTCTCTAAATTGACTAGCCCGGATCTACGGGCGTTACACGGGCCTTTTCCACCATCTCATACAGGGTTTTGCACCCTGTAAAGATCACAAACTCCCGAATATCATCCCTCACAATGGAATGATATCTCGTCCTCCACATATCCTCATCGTTAGCATACTGTTGAATCAACAAAGGTTGCTCCCGAAACTTGGCGGTGATCTCCGCCACAATCTCGATGGTTTGCTGGAGTTCCTAGAACTCCCTGACTGTCCTCTGCACCTCAATGGATGATGCAAACTCCAAGTCAAATCACTGGACAAACTTGGCCCGTGTCTTCTTAGCCACATCGGTTCCTCCCACCTAGCTAGGAACCTCGCCCCACAAATCTCAAGCCCTGTCTCTCAGCATGCAAGAAGCAAATCTCACCTTTTCCTCTTTCGAGAAAGAAATCGAGCGCTAGGCGTTCTTGATATCCGCCACCCATCATCGGCTAATAATGGGGTCCCTGACCACGAAAAACTCCGGCGCTTTACACACCTTGAACTCCCGGAATGAGGGAGTTCGGGTCCCAACCTGGTCGACAGCAATCTCGGCTCTGAATGTCCTGAGCCTCTCCTCCATAATCTCCATCATACCCTCCTTGACCATCCCAAAGATAATTGTAGTAGCTTGAAGGATGCCCCTCGTAACCTCAGCTGCAATAAGCTCACACAGCCTCTCTTCAATGACCTCGGTAGTGTCGCCTGATCCAGCCCTGGATCTCGATCCCGATCCTGATCCCCTTGCTCCAAATCATGTTACCACCATGCTGAACCGAAAGGTCATAAATCATAATGATTAGGGTGTCTATATAGGGGATCTTCCTACACCGGTCCTCCTTGGAGTTGTTAGATCTAACATTGGTTCAGGTACAGGTCCTGTGCTTTCAGTAGTATGGGCCCAATACTACCTTCCACACCTACTTGTACCTTTCCCCATGCTCTACCTGACAACTTCAATTCATCCTAAATAAATTCACATTCCACAGACTACTACACATCTCAAATCCTAGGTTGTCCTAAGATTTGCTCTGCCCATACTAATCATATCCGATTGCCTTTATGTATGCAAATTATACACTAGAAAAGGATCAAATAGACTTTCAAATAAAAGATTTTGTTGTAGGACCACAACCAAACTTGGAATAGGAAATAAGTCCAAATCAATCATTCTAAGGCTATAAGCTCCTAACCGTATATAATTTTAAAAACATACACATCGCAAGTTCCATACGATCATCAAAGCTCAAATATAAGTATAACATGGCTAGCACCTTTAGGAACTACTTACTTAGGTTGGTTGATCACACGCGTTGCACTCTCATCTTTTCCTTTCTTTAAAAGCTTCTTATTTTATTTTTGAAAACAATTTTACCATTCCCTTAGTTTGAGTCCTGACACACCCTAGAGTGTGCCCGAATCCCTCAAACCAAGGCTCTGATACCAACTTATAACGACCCAATTTTTCAAAAGAAAGTTTTCATTTTTGATTAACCAAGCACATGTACATAAATCACAAAAACCAAATATAATTGTTTTCAAAACTCATGCCAATTACAACATTTATTCCAAAACATCATAGTGCCCCATAAAACGCCTAAGAGAGTGCACGCCGTGCCATCAAGCCTTGCCCTTGCCCTTAGGCTCTAATGTACCTAAAACAAATCCACAACTTGTAAGCCAATGCTTAGTGAGTCCCCCAAAGCATACCCCACACATAATACATAACACATACCATATTAGCTATAAAAGCTACATATACCACATAAACCATGCATACATAAAACTGTAAGGATGTCGTGGGCTCCCTCAGGGTCTTATACCATCGTGCCATGGGCTACCCCACATGGTCTTATATCCAATTGCCATGGGCTCCCACCGGGGTCTTTCATGCAATAGCATACATAATCAACTTAGCATATCATATCACAGAAGTATCTAACATATTACATAACAATTACATTAACCTGTAAGGATGCCATGGGCTCCCCCCCCCCCCAGGTCTTACACCATCGTGTCATGGGCTACCCCACATGGTCTTTACCTAGGAATGTCATGGGCTCCCCCACATGGTCTTATATCCAACTGCCACGAGCTCCCCCCGGGGTCTTCCATGAAATAACATATAATCACTAGCATACCACTTAGCATAAAGCTAACTACCATACCACATATCTCTACTACAACTAGTGTACCACATAACATAAAATGGGTCAGGCTTAGTGCCTTAGACCCATTGGTATGGTGAGAAGACTCACCTTGAATTTAGAAGCTTCCTGAAAGATATCCTTAGCTACTTTCCACTTCCTGAGGCAATGGACAACGAGATCCAATCCATGTATGACAATCAAGTTTGGATCTTGGTTGAAAATGTACCAAGTCGTAAGACAGTTGGGTGCAAAGGGACCTTCTAGAAGAAAACCGACATGGATGGTGTTGTGACATGTTTCCAGATAGTTTGGATGCTGAAGAATGGATCTGAATTGGGTGATTTCCTGAGAACACAATCACAAAAGAATCGTTAAAGTACGATCAGGGGTTCTCCTTGGACATCGCTCTGGCGATCAAGTTACTTTTTGGAGAGAGAGACCGAGAGAGAAATTTTAGGATAATCTTCATAAGAGAGAAGATGGATCCCCTCCTCAAGATGATCCATTTATACTTGTTACTAACGAATGTGGGGATCGTGCCTCATGAGTGTGAAATGTGGCTTCTTCTTACTGGGAGAGCTATTCACGATAACTAGCTGCCAGGTGACGTAAGTTCTGAGCGTCACCCGGGTATTTGTTTCTTTCTTATTGGTTATGAGTGAATGAGGAAATCGCATGGAATTTTCTTCCCTTATGATGAGAAATGAGCTGTCGCTGCAGCTTTGGCTCTCTTAGGACAAGACCGGGTCTTAGCTAAGATAGTAATGTGTCTGTTACATTTTATGTTACATTTAATGTGGTCGTTAGGTAACATTAACAAGTCCCTTAGACCAGTAGGGTTCTGCATTAGTGATGTATCAGAGTTGTTCTGGTCTACTCACATATCTACGGCGAGCTTCTATTGATAGTCTATGCTGATGGCAGAGCAAAATCGCCATTGTTCGGCGGTTTCATCATGAAGACGATTCGCTGCCCCTTTCTTTGTATTTAAGCCTTTTCCTTCCCTGGCACATCCTCTTCACCTGTTACCTTAATTCCTTTATTCTTCTTTTCGAAAAAAACCTTTTCGTTTTTTCCTCCAAACTCTTCCATGGCTACTTCTCACTTTTTAGGAAGAAATATCACTGTTGAAGAGTGGGAATCTATTCAATTCCAGTTCAGGGTTGTTCCTGAACACAGGGTGCAAATACCCTTTCTTGATGCCTCTTTATACAGTCCTCCCAAGGACAAATTCAGGATCCCAATCGCCTTGTTCGAGGCAGGTCTGTGCTTGCCTACCACTGATTTGTTCAACTTGATCATCCGAGAATATGGGTTTTCAGTAAGAGAGTTGACTCCTATCGCTATAAACAAGATAGTCGACTTTGAACTCCTTTTCCGTGTCGTAGACCGCTTGCCGACCATTCCTGCTTTCAAGCACTTCTTTAATGCCTCAACTCATTCTAGGACTCAAACCCTTTCTCGCCGATGGGAAGTCCCTATTCTTATCCACGATAACAAGTCTAAGAAGAACTGGCAAGAGAAGTTCTTATAGGTGAACAATGATCTCATGGTACTTAGTTATCTGAGGACTAAGGTCTACGTTGACCATGCCTGAGTATTGTTTGGCACTGACAAGGAACTGGTTGATGCCCTGGAGAAGATTAACATCACCGGTGAAGATTAGCTTGACTGTTTCTAGGCCGTCGGTGGGATGAGTGCTACTTGGAGGGCTAGTGGGAAGATGCCTGAATTCTTTGTTGAGAAAGAGGGTATCTCTTTTGCTTCTCCTCTCCCCCCCCCCCCCCATTATATGAAAAGATTGGCAAGTCATGTTTAAATTGGTACTTTGGCTTAACCGACATTGTTTCTTGTTTTTACCAGGTGTAGAGGAGATAGTTTCTTTGGAGAAAGCTCTTCGGGGTCTATTTGACGGCGAGCTTCAGGTTCGCGATGTTGACCTGGTGGAGGTTCTTCCACCTCTTTTTTTGGCCAAAGACCCATGTCGACTGTCGGTTCTGATAGTGTTACCAGATTTGGTAAGGATCCGGACCTACAGGACGTTGTCATTACTGGTGCTTCTCAGAAGGATCCTACACCATCCGGTTCACCGAGGAATCCTATCCGAGTTAAGAGGCGTTTTGCATTCTTGGAAGCCTCTTCCGGCAGTCGAACTAAGGCAGCTAGCACTGGGGCCCCTCTTCATAAGTAGCGTAATTTAAGTCTCTTACTTGGAGGTTCTAAGATTCGAACTAAGTCAGCTAGTGGTTCTGCCTCTATCCACTTGGTGAAATAGTCCACGACTACCAGCGAAAAATTTACGCCTACCGCCACCAGTGGAAATGGCCCCACTATATCAATCCCCCATTGGTGGAAAGGCTAGGGGCTAGTGATGCTTGTCCTGGGGTGGTACTGGATGTCGTCTTAACCAAACTCTATGGCCTACTTGGCTAGGCGCCCGGACACCTGATAGCCAAGGAATTGCCCTTCCTCGACTCCAAAAGTACACTTAGCCGGATTTAACTTCATCTACGATTTTACTAGAGTTTTGAAGGTTTCTTCCACGTCTTGTGGTAGCATCTCGTCATTTCGGATTTTAATTACCATATCGTCAATGTAGACTTCGATATTTTGTCCAATTTGGTTGGTGAATACCTTGTCCATCAGCCTCTGGTAAGTAGCACCCATGTTTTTGAGCCCAAATGACATTTTCTGATAGCAGAAGGTGCCCTTTTTGGTATGGAAGGCTGTTTTTTCTTCATCTTCTCGTTTCATCTGCACCTAGTGATAGCCCTTATATGCGTTGAGGAAACATTTGAATCAGAAGCTTTCAAGCAATTGAACTTTCTGATCAATTTCCAGGAGAGGATAACAATCCTTTGGGCAGGCGTTATTGAGATCTAAATAATATATGGACGTTCGCCATGACCCATTGGCTTTCTTTACAATGGTCGGGTTTCTATCCATGTTGGAAACATTACTTCCCTGAGTATGCTAGCACTCACCAGATCGGCCACTTCTGCGTTAATAGCCCTATTGCGGTCTGCCTCCTATCGTCACTTCTTTTTCCTTACAGGTTTATTCCCAGTTGCAATGTTAAGGTTGTGTTCTATGGCCTGTCGATCGATGCCAATTAGATCTGTTGGCTTCCAAGTGAAGATGGTGTAGTATTTCCTCAGGAACGCCACCAGTTGTGCCTTGGTTTCATCTTTTAAGTGGGCACTAATTCGCACAAGTTGCTCTGGATACTCCATGTTTATCTGGTGTTTCTCGGTGGAACATCCCTCCTTCGACCTCTTTGGAACACGCACAAGTTCTGGGGTGGCTATGATTTGGTGGCAATGCTCTGCTTCAGTGTTTTTGGCGAGGATCGATGTCGATCCCTGGCGTGTGCTAAATTTAATGATGCCTTATATCGTTGATTACACGAGATGCACTAAAGTTATTGTTGATCGTCCAACCAGAATGTTGTGTTCATTTGGGTACCAAATCACTGAGAAGTCGATTGTCCTTGTGATTCGATCCCTTTCGTCATGGCTGACCAACGTTAAAGGGCAGCCGAATAGTTCCTTGTGGCCACAAGATATGCCCAGTGAATCCTACTAATGGTCCACCGGTTGAGGGTTGGATCCCCTCCCTCCACGTATCAAGCAGCTACCGTAAATAGTGCTTATAGAGTATATCAATGAAACTACCATTGTCAATGTATATTCGGTGGACCTTCTTGTTACGAATAAATACTGATATGAGGAGTGGGTCTCATGGATCCCAGTTTGATGGTCTGGGACCGCTGCTCGAGAAACTGATGTTAAGTAGGTTTCTCGAGAGTGCCTCAATCTCGTTTTCTGTATGGTGAGGTGTGTTTCTCTTACGAGAGTTAGAGATAGTGAATACCTCAGTGCCATCATATATATTTAATTGCAATAGATTGGGATGTGATATTGCCATCTGAGATGACAATTGCCAGAAACTGCTCTGGATTCGTGGTTCTGCTGTTCTTATCGTAATTGGCAAGATCTGTGTCATCAACTCCTGGAGAAGTTCGTGAGTTCTTAACAGAGCTTCTAATGCCATCCGAAATACTGTTGGGCTTAGATACCCTTTATGCAGGGAACAAACATCGTCTATTGGTTGTATCACTCTGAGGATACATCCGAATGGTGCTAAATGTTGTGATATGTTCGTAGATAGTTTGGATGCTGAAAGATGAATATGACTTGGGTGCTTGCCTGAGAACAAAATCACAAAAGAATCGTTAAAGGACGATTGGGTGTTCTCCCAAGACGTCGCTCCGATGATCAAGTTACGTTTTGGAGAGAGAGAGAAATTTTAGGGTAATCTTCATAGGGAGGAAGATGGATCCCCTCTGTAAGACGGAAGAGATCCTTTTATACCTGTTACTAACAGATCGTGGAGACCGTGCCTTGTAATCATGAAACGTGGCATCCTCTTACTAGGAGATCTATTCACGCTAACTAACTACCATGTGACATCAGTTATGGGCATCACCTGGACTATTCATTGCTTTCTCGTTGGTTGTTAGTGAATGAGGAGTTCACATGGAATGTTTTTCCCTTGTGATGAGAAATGAGTTGCCGCTTTGACTTTGGCTCTCTTAGGCCAAGACCGGTTCTTAGCCAAGGTAGTAATGTCTCTGTTACACTTAACGTGGCTGTTAGGTAATGTTAACAAACGGAAAGGTGCACATGTTTAAGGCACGGCTGGTTGCGAAGGGATTTAGTCAAACCCTGGGGGTTAGCTATGATGAGACCTTCTCACTAGTGGCTAAGATCAAATCTATTAGGGCTTCATAATTATGAAATATGGCAGATGGATGTCAAAACCTCTTTACTTAATGGAAATTTCGTTGAAGATGTTTACATGTGTCAACCATAGGATTTTGTATATGCTAAGTACCCCAATAGAGCGTGTAAACTTGAAAAGTCAATTTATGGATTGAAGCAAGCTTCTCGTAGATGGAATCTTTGATTCGATGACAAAGTCAAAGAATTAGGTTTCTCTGGGAGTAAGGATGAGTCCTATGTATACGTCAAAGCTAGTGGGAGTATAGTTAGCTTTCCAGTATTGTATGTTGATGACATACTGCTCATAGGAAACGACGTTCCAACCTTACATGAAGTTAAGTTCTAGCTTGGAAAGTGTTTCACTATCAAGGATCTAAGAGAGGCTGCCTATATTCTGGGAATAAGGATCTTGAGGAATAGGAGTAGAATAATAATTAGACTTAGTCAAAGTACTTACTTGGATAAAGTGCTGCAACATTTTAGCATGGAGAACTCCAAGAAGGGAGAATTACCTATCCATAGCAACACCAAGATAAGTAAGACTCAGAGTCCGAGTATTGATGCCGAGGTAGTAGAAATGAATGGATTCCATATGCTTCTGTCATTGGTTTGATCATGTATGTTATTGTTGGATTAGGTGTCAAAGCCCATAACTATAATTGGTATGTACTTGACCTGAGAGTATCATGTTTCATTTGGGTTGTATATCACCAGGACAATTTGATAGGATGGATATTTTATTAAGAGGTTATTTATGATTTATTAACATATTATAAGTATAATATATTAATTGAGGAATCATATTATTCAATTAGTATTGATAAATATTTAATTTGGAGTTAATCTAGTGATCAAAAGAGACTAATTAAATATACAGGGGCTGATTGTGTAAATCAATGATATATATAGGTTGGGCTAATAACCCATGATTGATTATTGATGGGCTAAGCTTATGAAAGAATCCATAAAGTGTTAGTCGATTACAAGACCAAGTGTAAGAATTAGGGTTTACACATAGCCCTTGGAATCCTACACTATATATATATATATATATATATATATATATATATATATATATATATATATATATGTGTGTGTGTGTTATCCCATAGCCTAAAATCATGCTTAAGTGTTCTTGGAGTTCATATAGATAATTTTGTGCCTAGTAACCTCTCTCTCTCTCTCTCTCTCTCTCTCTCTCTCTCTCTCTATTTCCTCCATTTGTTTATGGTTTGTTGTAAACCGTTTGTGGCATCACACTTGGGGTACTAAGTTCTTAAAGGCCAAAATACAACAAGCTACAAATGGAGGCAATTTTCTAACTAGTATTGTATGATGCAAATATCAAATTTTATGCTAGTTGTAGGTTTCATGCTTTGGATAATTTTTGTTGCATGTATAACTAGAGAAAACTTAGATCCAAAGCATTAGGGTTGTATGTGGATCATAGGATTGTTGTAATACATAGAACCCAACAGTGGTATCAGATAGATGGATAGTTTGATGTTATATAGTTGCATTTTGTGAATTGTTTAAAGCTGGAGAAATGAAATTTTGCACTCTGCCAGGGTGAACTCGACGGGTTCACTCATGAACTCGACAAGTCTATTATCTGACTCGACGCATTCAATAGTCGTTGGCATATTTTCGGGGCTTTTTGGCCACAACTGGATTTGGATCATTACCTTAAACTGTTTTGTATCATAAAATTTGTTTTTTCTGATATGGTAATGGCTATCCTCATCCAATT